GGGGGGGGGGGGGGGGAGACCAGGGGGGCGAAAGAAATGAGGGAAGGAGTGTGGTGTCATTTTCCGACTGGAATGCGTCGCCGAGGTGGATCGGAGTTTCGTTGCAACCTGTCATCGGCAAATGTATATGACTGTCTTCAACTCTTCATTGAATAAATAGAAGTAAGAAGCAAAGAAACAAAGAAAAAACTCGTTCATGCAAAGTAAAACGTTGTACGCATTTGCACCTACACACATTCACGATGGCGTCGCACTGCGATCCGTGTTCAGGAAAAATATTCCCTGTCTACCAGAGGGTACACAAAAAACGGCCGACTAACGTGAAGTCGATACAAGTATTGTTTTTCTCACATCTTTGGGTGCCCTGACTTCGATATGGATCTTGGTCTCGGGCTGTGTTAGCACCAGCGCGTACTGTTTGTTTGTTTTTCTCCCATCATTGGACTCTGTCGTCTGCCCCTCTGGCCCCTATCCTCCACTTCTACTAGCTAGACGACCCAACCGGGGTCACATAGGAGGGGGGGATTGGACCCCCTCCTGCGGTTCATGCCTGAGGTATTTTTATCGCGAGAAGGGTACAGCAATCCCTTCCCTCGCGACTTGCGGAGTCGATTATGGTTTACTCACAAACGAGCTTTGCAGCGCGTCGCTTTCATCCTAGACCAGGATTTATTTAGTGAGAAAAAAACTCTCTCTGCCGGGACTCGAACCCATGACCTGGCCCTTAGCAGGCTGCGAGGCTACCCACTAGACCACCGGGGCGACCGGTGTAGAAAAACGGTGTCCCCAGTGCTCCCCCCTCACTGTTTTGATCCCATGTGCCCTGGACGAGGAAATGACAAGAGAAGAGAGAAGAGAGAAACAAGAGAAAAACATACGTAGGGCCAGACACAAACACCGAGGGAGAGAGAGAGAGAGAGAGAGAACGCCAGCCAGACAGGCAGATAAAACGAAGGCAGGCATACAGGGTCTGGAGATAAACATATATACGCACGAGAGCACAACTGTTAACCCGGTTTGCCTGCACCTCACCCACTGCTACCACGCCCGCTGCTACTACTGGCTACATCGGCATAGCTTGATTGTGCATTTCCTCAGCAACTCTGCTCCAGCTCTAGTACGGGGTGAGTCGCCATGTCGGAAACATCATCACCATAGCTGTGGCACCTTGTGGCACCTTGTGTCACCCTTCGATACTCACCAATACCGTCTGCTCGTGTTCGGGAGATGCAGGCATTTGGACGAGCCGGAAGGTGTTCGTGCAGTACACGTCCACGAAATACCTTTCACGAAACGAGAAAGAAATAAAAAGAGAAAAACACGTACGCCATGAGGGTTAGCCTGTGACTACGGGGATCGACGCGTCAAGTTCTAGATTAGTACGGACAGATGAAGGTACTGGACAGAGAAATCGGAACGGCTTTTGAGGTGAAGACCCACAACAACAATGACGCGAGGAGTTGATACATGAGGACCAGCGGAATCATCAACACTAGAATGACCACACCAAATAGATACCGCAACTCAGAACGGCTAGGTGCTCAATATAACGTGCACCATCTTGCGGTAAACCTCCGATGGCATCATGCTGATTAATAGAAATACCAAAGCGCCGACAAAAAAATAGCAAACATGTCATGGTGAACAAATTCCAACTGCACGAGTTATCATGATGGAGAAAAGCCGAGAGCTGTTCATTCATCACGAAATTGGCAGTAGTCACTCTCGAACATAGCATCAGCATTCAGCATTCTCAAATGTCACCAACTAAATCATCTCTTTCGCTTGTTCTTTGGTGGTTCAGCTGTTTTACTTTTGCTGGTCGTGCTGGTGGACCACCAGCAGAAATCACCAGTAAAAACACGAAATTGTCAAAAACAACACGAACACGCGCACACATCCAGAGACTGAAGCTATCGTCCAACCCCCGACGTGGGATCTCGATGACTTGAAAGCGCGCTCGGTTTTATTGACTGAGTTATGCACATGTATGCAAACAAGAGTCACTGACGTGTTCTCTTCTCACGGGTCAGCCGGCTGCTTCTGCAGCATGGAGGATATCACTTGAAGAAACACACACAGCAGAGAGGAATGCGACCGTCATTTACTCGTCTGTTTCTACCTGTTACCTGACTTCTCTCCTCTTCTCGTACTGGCTAACCACGAGCGTGTAGTCGACCCACTTGTCGGTGGAGCCCGTATTCTCCGGCAAGTGGAACCTGCATTATCAAATCATGGAAAATTCGAAAATTAAAAAAAAAACACGCACACAACACGATCCAACGGTTCAAAACATGGATTGTACGGACGGATATCAACGAACGAACGCCCAAAGTCTGTCGCAGATAGGAGCCAGTTACGGCACCGTGTGGTTGCGGTGTCACCTGACTGACTGTTGGTGCTACTTGATGGCACGATCAAACCTGATGGAATGGGTTGTGCGCATACCTGACGAGCGTGTAAGGGTTGTTGGTGTAGATTCCCTTGAACATTGTTTTTCCGGGTGGTAGACCCGCTTCCCCTGCGTGTCCGCGTAGACGTGCATCGTCATAAAGTAGCCCTCTGACGGGTCGGACTCGATCACCGTCACGTGTCTGCCAGAAAAGGAGAAACGACGGACACATGATCAGTTTCAATACTCTTCCATGTACACTATTTAGATAGGGTGTGTCTGTCAACCACGTGGTACACAAATCACCCATATTGCGTTGCACATGAAAAATTTGAGCAGAGTTTCGTGGATTAAATCGACTGGAAAAACATTTCTCCATATACTGAATCGAAAGACATCAATAGTTGAATCGCACACGGCACGTGCCAAATCTGAAGTGGCCCTGTCCCAAGATGGCCCGTAAAGACGACAAGACCAACGAGCGAACAACAGCGAATGGCAACAACAAGCATGACTCATGCGTTTTCTGCTGCAGGAAATTCTACCGCGCACAAGCGCAAAAAACAAGTCGCGATTCCAGCAACAAGCACTTTCAGCTCAATGTTAGATGTACAACATAACCACTGAGCTAAACAGTCAGCGCTGACTATTTACCTCTTTGTATATGTTGTACATCTAACAACAGTACAACCAGGGTCCGAACAGCTGTTAGGCTGTCTGACACTGGTTTTCCCCCAGGGTTGTAATCCCTGTAAAAGCATCTTCATATTTCATTCCAAGTCTCTCGCGGTTGGAGACACACAGAGTGTGAACCTCTGAGGTAGGCTACACAGCCTCCTGGCATCTGCAGCAGCGTACTGCTGCTAGTGCACAGCGAAACATACTCTGACAGGTTATGAGCTTCGGCTAACGCACACACTACGAGCTGCGAACATCACGGGAAGATCAAGGCAACCTCTTCTCGGGACATCAACCTTCATCCGTGGACAACGAGAGAACCTGGTTTCGGAGATTTCTGGAGATTGCGACGCCGTCATCGGTCAACGGCAACACCAGCAAACGCGCAAACTTGGTCATCTACACCAAGGTGCCGAGGGTTCACGTCGTATACACACGTTACCACCCCTGCGGCAGTAGTGGGTATCTCTGTGGTGAACTAGCAGCAACGGTCACGTGCGCGGGAGTCTCGAGCGGCATACGCATCGGGTGTACAAGGAACTACACTGTATCATCAGTGGAGGCGATCAACAACCGGAGTCCTCTATATCAGTAGCAGGAACGGGGTGGGGAAGTCTCGGGTACAGGCAGTAGTACCACGAGCAAACTTACTCCTACAGCAGGAAGTACTTTTATCAAGACGAAGAAAATAAAGCTGGAACGAGCAATGGATACTGCAACGAGCAACACAGGAGGTGGAAGCGCGTTCGCCAGCGATAGTTCTACGAACCTGGCAACCGTGATCAAAGGCCTCAAGAAATTCGACGGAAAGGACCCAGCTGAGTTCAAGACATGGATGAAGAAATTCTGCGTGGTGTTAGGTGTGACCAGGAAGGACATCCTGCCACTGCTGAAGAAACAAAGGAAGCCAGATCCCGCAGACACAGCGGCCTTCGACTCTTACACAAGGGCAAACGAAGATCTCTACGCCATTCTTTTCCTCCTAGTGGAACTTCCAGCCGCCTTGTCGATACAGAAGCACGAAGACGACACTGGCATCAGCGGCGACGGACAAGCTGCCTTCGAGGAGCTCTGCAACAACTATGACAGGGTAACGGACGAGGTCATCAGGGCGAAGATGGAGGAGCTGGAGAACAACCCCATGAACCCTGGTGAAAATCCCGACGACTACTTCAACCAGAAGCACCTACTTCGCACCCAGCTGGATAAGATGGGAGAACCCATCTCCGACCGCCGCTTCAAGGACATCTGCGTACAGGGCTTCTCCGACGAATACAAGGACGTCAAACTGATGGTGTTCAGAGACCCAACCTTCAACGTCCTGGACATGCAATCCACCATGCGCAACATCTTCTTGGACGAACAATCGCGCAAGGGATGGAAGGGACGCATAGCTGGTCGAGGATTTGCCATGGCAACGACCGCGTCTGACATCATCTGCCACAGCTGCTACGAGCCGGGGCACATCAGGAGGAACTGCCCCAAGATCAAGAACAGGGCGAAGAAGAAAACGAAGCCCGCCGGAGCTACCAAGTGGTGCTCCAAGCACAACACCACGTCTCACTCGGACGAGGAATGCTACCAGCAAGGAGGAAAGCGCCCGGAAGACACCAAGGACTCAAGTAAAGCATTCACCGCGTGCTCCAACTGCACTCACTGCTCGTCGGCGTCCAACAAGCACGACTCAAACAATGAAGTGGCAGTTGTCGACTTCACCCGGGACGAGGACGCCTTTGACAGCGGCTTCATGTTCGGCACGTGTTCCCGCATCTCAGGACGCAACTTCGCCGCGAGCTCCACCGGGGTAGGCCTGCTGGTAGACACGGGAGCATCGGAGACCATGTTTGACAATCGCCTCATCCCCGACGGAAACCTCCACGATTACACCCAGCGAAACTCTCCAAAGATCGTGGACGTGGCCGGAGAAAGACAACTCAAAGGCACGGCCACGGGCATCCTACACTGCACCGTCAAGGACAATCGAGGACAGCAATTGCGCGTGCGGATTCAGGGACTCATCGTTCCGGGACTTGGTCGCAACATTTTTTCGCCCACCTCCCTCCTGAAAAAGGGATTGCGCTGCGTCGTCGAAGAGAGCACTCCGCACCTCACTATCCAAGGCAAGGTGATTCCACTCACACAAGATCCGCGAGACCAAGGCATGTGCACCCTCGACATCACGTTCGAGCAGAACGTCCAGCCATCTGGCACGAAATCCCTCGTGCCCCACCAGAAGCAGTCACAGACCCACACGGCGAACGCCGTCTGCTTTACGCTAGTGAGCGCGGACACCTGGCACAGGAGGCTTGGACATCTCAATGCTCGGAGCCTGGACATCCTTCGGAAGGACACGGGTACCGGGGTGGACTATCGCGACAGTCTCTCCCCTTGCGGGGTCTGCCAGATCGCGAAACACAAGCAGTCCCCCCACCCGAAGCAATCGACTCGCGAACTATCACGGCCTGGACAGCTTGTGGTCATCGACAACATGGGGCCTGTTAATCCACCTGCGAAATATGAAGGAGGCTCCTTCCCGTACGCGTGCAAGATCACCGACGACTACACGAAGATGAAAGAAGTGTACCTGCTTCGCAAGAAATCTGACACGACCGAGGCGGTGCACACGTACAACATGTGCGTCGCAGCGGCAGGAGGCTACCGGATCGAGACCATCCGCTGCGACAAGGGAGGCGAGAACACCGGATCCGAATTTCGGGACTACTGCAAGAATTCAGCTATCAAGCTCGAGTACGCCGCCACCAACACCCCTCAACAAATTGGTGTATCGGAACGGGACGGACAAACCCTGGCCGGAGTCACCCGGTGTCTTCTGAAGGATGGAGATTTTCCGCCGTCCATGTGGGGGGAGTTAATGCTGACTGCAGCATACCTGTTGAACAGGTCCCCACACTCAGCACTGGGAGGAGCTACGCCATACTCGAAGTTGCACAATAAGTCACCTGATCTCTCGGGACTTCGGGTCATTGGAGCGCGCGCCTTCGTACACCACGAGGGATACCGAACGAAGCTGGACGACAGAGCTTTCGAAGGCAAGCTATGTGGTTTCGGCCTCGACAGCCAGACCTACCGGGTATTGAATCCATCCAACGGGGCCGTGGTCGAGAGCCGGAATGTGACTTTCATCGAATCTCCACCCCGCTCAGTGCCCTTCCAGTATTCCACTGAAGCAAACGGGTACGAGAGCGACGTGCTGAGCTTCACCTCCCTGCTGGACAGCCCCCACTCGACGAGCGACCTGGACTTCACGGCGCAGAACGAACTCCTTCGGCAAGAAGTCCGGAAGATGCAGCAAGACAATCTCGCTCGGGAGAAGCTTCGCCTAGAACTGGACGGGCACGAGGACGAACATGGAAACGGGCAAGATCTCGGCGACGGGGACGCTCCATCACCACATCTCCCATCGACGCCAGCTGGACCGTCATCCGAGACCCACGCATCTAGCCCCAGTCCATCATCGTCGAACCCGACTGAACCGGACACTTCTGCATCAACTGGATCCTCCGGCATGCGGCGCCTGCAAGTCACCAGAGCCAGCACGCGCGGGAAGCCCACCAGCGACGATCATATCGACGTCAACTTGGTTCCTGCCAATCTGGAAGTCACCATGAACGACCGCGGTCGAGCCCATGCTACAACGGGCCGCGTGGAGCCATCCGGTCTTTCCTTCACTCAGCTGGCTGAGATAGCCGATCAAGCCCAGCTCCCATGCCCTGGCGATACTGAGGATTTCGCCCACGTTGCGGACAACCCCTTCACGGTGCCGCGTGCTCACGCCTACGTCACGACCACTCACGAACACCACGGGATCTTGGAGGAGACGAATCAAGCGATCAAAATCCCCAACACCTACGACGAAGCCATGAGCTCCCGCCAGCGCGAAGAATGGGAAGGAGCGTGCAGCAAGGAAATGGACAATCTGCGGAAACACAACGTCTGCAATCTGGTGCCCCTCAGCAGCGTTCCCAAGGGAGAGAAGATCCTCGGAACGAAATTCGTCTTCAAGAAAAAGCTGGACGGACGCTTCAAAGCTCGCCTGGTAGTCGGAGGACATCGTCAAGAGCCAGGACAGGACTACGGACGCAGCTACGCACCAGTATGCCGTATCGGGAGCATTCGCATGACGTACGCCATTGGCTGCCACAACAACTGGCCCATCTACCAACTGGACGTTGTCGGTGCCTTCCTGAACGCCCTCTGCGACAGAGATGTGTACGTCAGACCCGCCCCCGGTACATCCGCCAAGAACTCCGCGACGGGATAACCCATGGTGTACAAACTAGAACGGAGCCTCTACGGCCTATCGCAGTCCCCTGCGCTCTGGAACGACACCCTGGACGAATCCCTAACGGTGTTCGGATGGAAAAGGACTCAATCCGACCCCTGCGTGTACGTGTATACCAGCGGCAACATCATCGTGATTCTCACGGTCTACGTAGACGACATTCTCATCACAGGAGGAGACCAGCAGCTCGTGGACCAGAAGAAGAAGGAGCTCACGGATCGATTCGAGATGACCGACATGGGAGAGGTAAAGCGGATCCTCGGGATCGACGTGCAGCGGGTCTACGAGCAAGGAACCCTGGCCATTTCACAGGAGCACTACGTGAACACACTTCTGGAGCGGTTCGGAATGCAAGAGGCCAACCCAGTGAGCACTCCTGGATACGGAGCGGAAATCTCCACGAATCAACCTCAGGACCAAATCCTAGGACCCACGGACAAGAAAATTTACCAGTCGATGACGGGAAGCATCCTCTACCTGGCCCAGTGCACGCGATTCGACCTCTCCTACGCTGCCCTACAACTTTCCAAGGCCTGCAGCAACCCAGCGCAGGTGAACATGACAGCAGCCAAGCACGTTCTGCGATACCTTCGGGGTAATCCAGTTCTTCCTATCGTCTACAAGAGAGGACAGTTTCGGCTAGCGGCGTTTACGGATTCATCCTTCGGAGCAAACCCCGACAACGGAAGATCTACCACGGGATATCTCTTCTTTCTGGCTGGAGGACTCATCAGCTACGGTGCGAAGACTCAAACTCTAACCGCGCAAAGCACGGTCGAAGCCGAGATTCAAGCACTTAGCTACTCAGCCAGAGAGGCGGTCTACATCTCAAATTTCATGACGGAACTCAACTTCAAGACCTTCGGATCGGTTCCCATCAACAGCGACAGCACCGGAGCGCTGACAGTGGCCGGGAATGCCATGCACTATCAACGCACGAAGCACGTGGCCCTGAGGTACTTTTTCATCCGGGAGCTAGTACTGCGGGGACAAATCACTCTTCACCACCGGCTCAGCGAGTACCAGTTGGCTGATATCGCGACCAAGTACCTCCCAAAGCACCGATTCGCCTCCATCATTCAGCAGATCAACGACTTCTCGTGATGATCAAAGATCTGTGAAGCTTCCTTCCATACCCGCCATACCAGAAGGAATATATTTTCGATACGATGCCAACGGAGGGGTCGAGATAGACAAGGATATGGTGATGCCGTCGACCATTGTGAATTAGTTGCTTGATCGACGGGTCGTGTCAAGAAAAATCGTGCGTCGAGACCACCAGTAGTCGGACACGGTTGGACCTTTGAATACGATTGCAGCAACTAGTCTGCGTAGCAGTAGAACAGAATCCATCTCTCCGTGGCATGTATTCTCTTGTTATAGAAATATTCCGAAAGCATGCTAGATCAAGGTTGACTGGGACATCTACGTAGAACGTGTGTAGCTTCTGGAAGCCTTCTGGACACTTCTGGTTCCTTCTGGAAGCTTCTGGAAGCGTTCTAGATCTAGGTTGCAGTTGATACTCATCCAAGATGTAGGAGGGCTTCCAGAAATCATTCTGGAAGCATTCTGGATCTTTCGTGTGATTGGCTTATTTGTCCGGTATTCGAGAAGAGTGGTGCAGCCCTAAGCTCACCCACCTCTCTCACTCCTCTTCAGTACCAGCAACATCTGACTCGGGAGTCAGCGATTAATAAAAACATCTTCATATTTCATTCCAAGTCTCTCGCGGTTGGAGCCGCACAGAGTGTGAAACTCTGAGGTAGGCTACACAGCCTATCGGCATCTGCAGCATCGCACTGATGCTAGTGCACAGCGAAATATACTCTGACACTCAAAACCATCCACAGTCCAAACTAAAATGACAAACCAGCGTGAGGAGGTCGGACATGATTCATGATGGTGTCCATGTTCACCTGGTTAACAGCACCCACACCGTAGCCGCCGTCGCTGCCGCCCCTCCCGCCGAGGCAGCCGCCGCCGATCCAGATTCCCCCTAACCGGCACTTGTTGCGCCGCTATTGACGGAGAGCGTCAGCTGCGGGTTGTCGCCGAGGTTGAAGGAGTCGTTCTTGGGACCGATCTCCACCGGCCACCGCAGGTGCATCAAGTCTCTGTTGTATCATACCAGCGAGTAGAACGCACGCATCACGTTTCGAGTTCATGGGAAAATGAAATGGCTGGGAGTGTGGGGAGCAAGCGTGTACCGGCCAAGGCTTTTTAGCCAGCTGCTGCAAGTGCACCGCGAACTTGACGTTAGCATGCAAAGCATACATGCAATGTATCTATCCTTCGGTGTAGCTCAAAACCTCTCAAGTTTAGAGGGCTGAGGTTGCCGCTCCTATGTCATGGAGCCAGGACTGGGGATATTGATAGGGTATGCGCACTCAAAGCTCCTTAATCGGAATATATCGGCGTTCAAGCTCATGGATATTGGACTTGCCACAGAGTCAACATTGAGATGAAGGTCAACATTGAGTTGTTTTGACCACGGTACTCAGATCACCAAAATCTGAAAAGCTTGGGGTGCAACTTTATGAAGATATTGGGCTTGGCCCAGCAGGGTTGTTCTTGGGAAAATAAAACGAACATGTTGTGACTGACATTCAGATTAACGAGCATTTGACTGTGGAGGTATATGGCAGTAGCGATAAAAGTCTGATTTGGTCGTACGCGGCGTGAAAAGCCACGTCGCAAGACCCAAAAGTAAGCGCACAACGTCCAGGTCGTTGTGGGGGGGTGAGCCAAAAGAAACGTCGTTGTCGTGTTGAACGCTTATCATCATCATCATCATCATCATCATCATCATCAAGACGTACGTGTGAATAGGGCTGGCCTCAATGATTGAATGACGGCCACAGCAGTAGCAAGAAACCAGAATCTTCGATCTTTTGAGGTTTCGCTTAATGGAGTCGACGGGCCAGAGGCAGGGTTCACGTTGTTGTTAAGGTTAGGTAGGGTGTCCAAAATTCACCTGAAGCGGAAGATGTTGGGATTCCAGTTTATGACGAGTCTGAAGTGCTGTACGACGGAAGCAAAGTCCACCCACAAAACGCCTTTGTCCTGCAGGGGTAGCCTCTCCTTGGGTGGGTAGTTGACGGCCGTGTAAAAAATGACGATGAAAAACTGAACGGTCAAGACAACGGCAAGACTTACGAACGATCACACCACGGACGATAGCCTATTATGCAGTGGCCGCTTGGAATGTCGATAGGCGGGGCGTGTGGCCTATCGGTAGGTTCCGTTGCATGCAATAGCACATTATCGCATACGGAAAAAAAATCCCAATATCAAACCTTGTGGTCAATCGATAGCTAGTGCACCCGGTCACGATGGCGACGGCGATATCTCGTGCCCGAAGTTGAAATTTTCTTGCGTTAGCTCAACTTATGGTCTGCTGCGGTGTACTGAAACAGAACGAAATGACACGGTCTGCAACCCGCACCCAGTTTTGCATCGTATTGAACCGGTGAGAAAATCAAAAGGCTCAAAGGTTGACGAGGCCCCGAAGTGGTCCCTTTTCGCTGCTGTCTTGTCAAGTTGTCAGTTTGGCGATCTTTCTCTCTCTCTCTCTCTCTCTCTCTCTCTCTCTCTCTCTCTCTCTCTCTCTCTCTC